AAGAGGATGTATAGGCAGGCTGCCAGGAAGAGATAGACATAGTGGGCCAGGTGGATGGGCGTGGATGAAAGAATGAGGTCCAGCAGGGCTTGGATGGAGTTACCCACATGCATGTTGATGTTAAAAGTGGACAGAGGGTGCTTCTCAATGGGGTAGACCAGCATCCAGTACAGGAGTGTCACAGTGACGGAGAAACTGCTCACCAGGTTATGGAGACACCACTGGAGCCGCAAAGCAGCCAAAAGAAGAGGGGGGAGAGGAAAAGGGCCCACAGATCCTCCTCTGACTCTGCTGCCCTCTAGTGGACAAGAGGAGAAGCACACCTTCAGACACATTTTCATTAACATTCAGTGCCTCTAGAGATTCAACAGACTCACCGTTTCGGTTTGCAGCAGCATCCGTGTAGAACTTCCTAACCTGGATTGCAGCCCAGACCAGGTTACAGAGAGCCAGGAGGTAATACACTGCCATAATGCAGTAGACGATGTGGCTGAGGAACAGGAGCCATTTGGGTGAGGAGAACAGTAGAGCAGAGTACAAACACCATATGAACGTGTAGAGCAGCATGAAGAGCCTGTACAGCAACCAGGCCAATGGAGAGATGCTCCACTAGAAAGAGAAAAATGAAGAAGTGAGAATATATTAGCCAGATATTAGGTCCAACCATGGTCCTCGAGCTTCAAGCTGGTCCTCAGGGATCTGCAGATGGCCCACGTTTTTGCTTTATCTCTATTATCTATATAATATCTATGTTGGGAGTTGGGACAGAGCAAATATGTGGACTGTCTGGGGTCCTTGGGTACCACTGATGTATGATATCACTCGAAAGAACCCCTTTTTGGCGAATTTCTTACATGGGTCTGAAAAGATGTGTAGCTGTCAAGAAGAACCTCACTGAGAAAAGGAGACGGACACATCAAACAAAGAAGCTGAACAATGGACTGACCACCCCAGAGTCCAGACCTCAACACCACTGAATGTGTTTGATTACTTCAGAAAATTATCAACCAGCTTCTAAGACTGAACTTTGGAGGTGTGTCTGCAGATTCTTTGAGAAACTGAAAGTGAGTCTCCTGAAAAGAATGGAAGCTGTGATGAAGATTAAGACTGGATACAGTAAACACTGAAAAAGTTGATATATTTCTTCTATGTATAATAATTAATGAATAACTAGTGACCATTTAGCCTGGAAATTAAACAAATAAAGGGTGGTCTCTGAATTTTGGACAGTATGCCATTCAATCTCCACAGAATACAATACATGATCTTATCATATCATGATGTCCAACTGAACCAAACATCAACCATGTTGACAAAGCTAGTTCCATCCTCAGTCCAACACATTTAACACATTCTAATATTAAAATATCAACGAAGACTTCATCAAGCTAGATTGATGGCAGATTTGATTGGACGTACCTGTGGCTGCAGCAGTAGTTCGGGTTGGCTTAAAGAGAACTTCACCTTCCCCACATTAAGCTCCTCTCTGAAGCTCTGCGTCCAGGCAGACCCCATAGTTACCTCACTGCAGGACAAGGCCTGGCTTTTATTCTTGCCTTTGCACTGGCAGTACTTGCTGCAGAGCTGAAGGATGGAAAAGAGGAATGTTCTTAGCCTCAGTCTTCTTTCTCTTACTTTCTAAAATCTAATTCATGAAGCAGCTCGTGACTTGACTGCAGTTCAGTCAGACGACCGGACATTCAGTGGTGTGGGCTGTTAGGGCTAACTCTGTTTGCTAATCTAGTATTCGGACATATAAAGGATAATCAGGCATGAATACTCAGAATAAAGAGCTAAACCCATCAAAACACAGATGCAAGGAGAAGGTATCTTGAGTAAACTAAGCAGACTTCAGTACATTAATAGTGTTTAAGTACATATAGAATACTAAATACTACCTTTTATTTCATATATTTTATGGAAATACTCATAAAACATACTTTTCTGTATATTTTGAAAAGTGTATTTTTAAAGTAACACATTTTATTATATTACATACATATTATATTTCAGTTTGCTGTGAAGAAGTACACTCGAATAAATGCATTTCATACATCATACTGAAGCATAAACAGAATTGTATATGATTGTCGTCTAGTTAAGTGTATTTTTTACACATATTTTAAAGCAAAGACTTTTATAGTGTGCTTTAGTACATTATAATCACTTTTTAGTTACAATATAACTATATAATCAACATTGTTATTTGTTTAAGCATCATTAGTATATATACGCCAATCGGCCATAACATTAAAACTACCTCCCTGTATCTACACTCAGTGTCCATTTTATCAGCTCCACTGATCATATAGGAGCACTTCATAGTTCTACAGTTACAGACTGTAGTCCATCTGTTTCTCTGCATACTTTCTTACCCTGTTCTTCAATGGTCAGGACCCCCACAGAGCAGGTACTATTTGGGTGGTGGATCATTCTCAGCAATGACACTGACGTGGTGCTGGTGCGAGTGGATCAGACACAGCAGTGCTGCTGGAGTTTTTAAACACTGTGTCCACTCACTGTCCACTCTATTAGACACTCCTACCTTGTCAGTCCACCTTGTAGATGTAAAGTCAGAGATGATAGCTCATCTGCTGCTGCACAGTTTGTGTTGGTCATCCTCTAGTCCTTCATCAGTGGTCACAGGATGCTGCCCACAGGACACTACAATTATAGACAGTAGTCCATCTGTTTTTCTGCATATTTTGGATTACCCTGTTCTTTAACGGTCAGGACCACCACAAAATGGACAATAAGTGTAGAAACAAGGAGCTGGCTTTAGTGTCATGACTGCTCAGTGTATAAGCTGTGTTTAGTTATATCTTTTAAAATATTTATGTAACATTTAAAATGGTTTGTAAACATACACATAAATATGCTGTGTGTTGATAGTATCAAGTGACTTAGTAATAGCTAAGTAAGTAGCACTGAAGTGTATTAGTGCATCCAGCTGTATATTTACAATATATTCCACGTGTTATAACAGTTATGTCTACATGTTACATACTTATTAAGTCTACCAAAGTGCAACTTAACCTATTCCAAAAACGGCACTCAAAAGCACAACTAAATGCATTTTATATATACTTAATCATAACATAATTACAATTAAATACACGTGTTCACAAGTTGTTTCACAATACATTAAGTATGCATCAAAGTATGTGTGAAGTATAAATATTGAAAGTATGTACTGTTCATAATAAAAAAAATACTTCTGAAAAGTACATTTAAATGCATTTTTCTTTCACATGATATAATGCTTTCTGTTTAGTTATAGCTGTAACAGGCTCAGAGTGTTAAACAAAGACAGCAGTTGTCAGTTTTTGCAGACTGTGCTGACTGTTTCAGTGCTCTTCAGCAGCTGAGTGGACTCAGCGTGAGCTTTTTATAGTCGCTCATAATGAAATCAGCAGCACAGCGATTCACAAACTGATGGAAATCAAAGCTGTAGTCTGCTCAGAGGTGATCCCATATCAAAAGGAGATATGTGTAGATTCATGCTGCGGTTATGAGGCTGCATTATAATTGGGAGTAGTTCTGGTGTAAAGGACATTGATAGTGCAACATGCCTCTTTAAAAACAGAATTACAGTCGTTCAAAGTGTTCAGGGAAATATTTTGCATATACCAGTTTGCACTGAAGTCCCTGCTTATTACAGGGGCTTCAATGCAAACTGGTTGAGCTACTCTAAGGTTACAGAAGTGTGTAATAAAACTTTGACCATAGAGTTAATGGGGCTCACTCATGAATATCTTCCTAAGTTTTACTTGAATTTGTTCTTGAGAAAGGTTCTAGGAAAAAGTGTAGGTCAGATTCATGACGTGTTCTTAAATCTCAGAATCATTTGCAAGTTTGTGCTCTTGAATGTGTTCTGTCTTGACTTTTGACTTCAGATTCTGTACATTAGCACCATGTTTCATGTTTTATTCTGGTTTTTATTTACTCATGTTCATCTCACACAGGGTGACGCTGATATATCTGTTCATTTTCAAATAAAAGTCAAATAAATCAAGAAATCTCATATTTGTTCGCAGAAAAGCTGTAATTTTATTTTGAAATGTAAAGCAACAAACATAACATTGAACAGTTTTAGCCAGTGAAAGTTCAGAAAGTGAATCATTCTAAACAAACAAGAAAAAATCTAATCTAGTTGAAAAATCAAGCAAATCAATGTCTGATCACAAATGATTCGGTATAAACTGAAATAAAATCGAAATGAAAAAATAGCTTTTTTCTTTTTTTTTTTTCTTTGCATGCTTTTTTCCAGTTTTTTTCAAGGGTGGGGGGTGTGGGGGGATTTTGCCCAAATTTTCTCCTCAATTTAGTTGTGGCCAATGCCACCCACTAGCTAAGTCTCCCCCTTGCTACCAAGCTAGAAGGGTGGAGGCTAGCACCAGCTTCATCTGAGATGAGCATCACATCATCAGCAATACAGAACTTAGCCAGTTTGCATAATTTAGACAGCTTGTGGTAATCTTTCTTATTAGTTAGCCTCTAATTTTACTATTCATTAGCTAATAAGATGGGCTCCCCCAAAAAAATCCTGCTTACACTCCCAAATGGCTAGAGCTGGCTCTGTGCAACGTCACTGGACAGCTCAACATGCTTGGAGGAGAACACTAACTGCTAATTCTGTTTTTGTGCTGAGCGATGGGGGGAGATGTAGGGGGTCAGTTTACCCACCCAGAGCAAGTGAGGGCCAATTATGATCTCTTGGACTTTCGGCAGTGGATGGCTATGGCATCACTGGGACTCAAACTGATGATCTACCAATGACAGATGGTTATGCCACTCAGATGCCTATTTGTCATGCACTCTAATCTGATTATGCTAATTCAAATCTTGTTCTAATCAGTTGGTTATCAGATTAATCAAAGAAAAAACTACAAATGATTACCTATCAGAGAGAAAAGAAAAGAGCTGAATCAATCAGATTTGCTTTTATTTCTTATTAAGACCTCACTCTAAATTCTTAATGGATATCAGATTGCGCCTGCCTACTCCTGCGATTTAACATGTTCTACCACATGAACGTCTGCAGTGGTGTAAGTGAGGCCACTGTAGATTCCACTGATGTTAAACTCCAGCATAGATTCATTATAACAGGTGATCCTCACAGTGCCCGTATAGGGAAGATCAATGACAGCCCGGCCAATGCAGGCTTTTGCATACACCGATTTTCCAGGAGGAACCTGGACAGGAACCGACACCTTCTCCTCTTTTTCTTCAGAATACTCCAGAGAATAGGTATCTTCCATTCCCTCTGTGAAGCTGAATCCACTCTCCACTTCTGCCACCACTGGAATTGCTGCTTTCACTGTCACGCTGAAGGTTGATTCTATCTTGTTGGTCGTAGACCAGGAGGACTTTTTGACGACCTTCTCTGATGTTTCTAGTGTATATTCCTGAGTAACACTAGTGTCGTTTTGGTAAGTCATGGATTTGAGTTCCTCAATAGCCACCTGAGGAATGACATCATAAAGGGTGGGATAAGTGGTGTTGGTAAGGAAAGTGGACTTGATGGGATTGATGAACAGGAACCCTAACTTGTCGATGTCTTCGCCTTCAAGTCCAACGATTCCCATGCAAACGCCGGAGCCGACATCAATCGGGTACTCTTTTTGCAGATCCAATTCGGTCATCTTTGAAAAGAAGGAGCCATCAAGAGTTGTTGTAAATTTGATGGCACCTAGACGTGTTCCAGCTTCATCCCCCTCTGCATTATCCCAGAGTGAAAGAGAGGTGATGAGCTCTCCGGGTTTGAATGTATATTCAGAGTAATCTCCTTCAGCTTTCCCAAACTCCCTGTACTCTCCATTGGTGAGCCAAACCTTGATGGATCTTATTTGCCAGCCTCCTGCCCACACCCTTATCTTTTCCAGTGATGCTCCACTGTCAGTACCACGGAAGTCGAATGGGGTGCCTCCATTTCCACCAATATCAAGGACAGGTGCTAGGTAGGACATGGTGAAGATCTTACTGCAAACCCTAAAATAAAAGAGACAAGCAACATGTGCATTAAGCTCATGATTCATAATTCAGATTGAAGAAAATAGAAGCAAGAAACATCAAAATGATCAAAATATGAAGTTTGAGTAAAAGAATATTTTCTTTAATGAGGAAAACATTGACTATGCCTAGTCTGGGAGCTGCACAGCATTGCCAAGAGATCAGCAGAACACTTGGGGTAGCAGGGTTGAGTGTCTTGCCCAGTATACCCTGTCAGTCCTGGTATTCAAACCCACAACTTTTCAGCTGCAGGAAGTTGAGCGCCTTGTCCAGTATACCCAGCCATCCCTGGGATTTAAATCCACAACCTTCTTGTTGCAGGCAGTTTAGTTCCTTTGCCCAGTATACCCAGTCAGTGCTGGGATTTGAACCCTTAACTTTCCAGTGGCAGGAAGTTGAGTCCCTTGTCGAGTATACCCAGTCAGCCCTGGGATTTAAATCCACAACCTTCTGGTTGCAGGCAGTTGAGTGCCTTGCCCAGTATAAATACTAAGTTCTAGGATTCGATCCCATAACCTGCTAGTTGTTGGAAGTTAAGAACACAGCCAGGAATACCCACTCAGTCCTGGGATTTAAACCCCATGTCCTTCAGTTTGTTGGCTCACTTCTCCTACCACTCAGCTTCCAGCCACCCTGGTTAAATGGCACTTTACCTACACTCCTAAATGATTTGTTATTTTAACTGGTAGACGTAACGTAGCTTTTTGCAGTTTTTCAGTTCATTCCAAACATCAAATAGTAAGCTAACAGAACAATCTGTGATTGCTTTCTGTTCCCTCTCTTTGTGCTGTTTATTTAAAATATTTAAGTCAGTCAATATATGTAGGTATATATTTCTCCCAGGAAATAATGAATGAATGAATAATGAATGAGTATACTTACATATACAATTTAGTCTTAAGTACTTCAAAGAATATATTGTATTTGCTGTATGGGTTATTAACATTTCATGGCCTTTAATTATATGTGCATAATCATTATATTATTTAGTGCTGACCACTATTGCTGTGGTGCGAAAAGTTCTAGAAACAAACATTGAAAATTTTGTATATTAGAAAAATTAAAGGTTTCTTGCCGACTAAGTCAATGTTATATCTGTGCTCCAACGCTTGCAAATGCATGCCATTTTTTTGCTTTTTGAAGTGAAATGACAACAGCAAGCTATTAAAAAACAAATTTTCTGCAAATTTTAGTGCACAATTGCTTTATATTTGATTACCTTAAATTGTCCTTAGGAACAGTCAGTGATGACAATTCCACACCTTAATAAATTCTCTCACTCTTTAAACATTGTACTAATACTCAACACACATCTCTAAGTAAGTTACTCTAAGGAGCTGGCTGAAGATCTGAAAATGGATCGAAATAAGAGGCAAAAAGGCAAAGCAAAACCCCCATGTGACAGCACCGACCTGCATGAAGGTTTAGCAGACACAGAAGTGGTGGTGCACTACTCTACTATGCAGTTTTGTTATGAACTTCCTGTGATGCCAAACAAAATCTAGATAAGCCAGAAGCATTTTGGAAACTGTGGGACTGTTGAAGTAAAAATGGAACTCCACAAATTAAAAATGCTTTCAGAATTAAAAGGTTCTATCTGTGTTTGTTCCAGTCTGGAATTCCAAATATCCTAGAATTTTAGTGTTCAATGATCAAAATTAATTTGGCAGCATAAAATGACATTTCAATTTTAAATCAACAGAAATTTGCATTATATCCAGCTTAAAAATCCTTACATGAAGAAAATCAGTAAAACTTACAAAATAAATCTGTGAGACAGATGTAGATAGAAAATTCTTCAGGTCTTCAGGGAACAGGTTTCCTGTTGATAGCAGGTTTCGGTGTTTGACAGAATCTGTATGCTCCCTTAAATAGTTCTCGAATGCTGTGGGAGGGATCTGGGATCAGCTGATATGCATCATCAAAAGCTGTGCTAATGCACTGGTTAACAGGAACTCTCAAAAAACAACTTTTATTTGACACTTGCGTAATCTCAGAACACATAAACAAGAGCCCAACCTGACACTGACTAATGAATCAGCCGACACATGAGTTGAACAATTTACACGTCATCATGTTCATTTTCTTCATTTGATTCATTTCTTTTTCCACCACTACAACTACGACGACTATCTTTAGAAAGTTACATGATGAAATTATGAAAAAGGCATTAGTTGTTAAAATAAATGTTATTATTATTAGTTGTTGTAATAACAACTAGAAAGTGTGTGAACAAACTTTAAGTTGGCTTAACAAAGCCAGCTAATAATACTTAAAAGTTTCCATAGTCATTCCAGGTAGTTGCTATGGTATTTCGTTATTAGAGCATTTCTTTGTGGTTGTTAGGTGGTTGCTAAGGTGTTGCTTGGCAGTTTCTATGGAACTCCAGGTGGTTGCTAAAGTGTTGCTAGTGTATCCAAGGTGGTTGTTAAGATGTTGCTGGGCTGTTACTATACTGTCCCAGATACTAAGGTGTTGTTAGGCCATTGCTGTGTTATCCCAGGTGGTTGCTAAGGTGTTGTTATGCTGTTGTTGAGCTAAGTTCTGAAAAAGACATTTAATATTGTTAAAATTTTAGTAAAGTTGTCACTATAGTTATACGAAAGACGGCTTGATGAAACCAGTTTCCATAGTTTCCATAGTTATTCCAGGTAGTTGCTATGGTATTCCATTATTAGGGCATTTCTTTGTGGTTATTAGGTGGTTGCTAAGGTGTTCCTGGGCTGTTACTATACTGTCCCAGGTGGTTGCTAAGATGTTAGTAAGCCATTGCTGTCTGTCCCAGGTGGTTGCTGAGGTGTTGCTTGGCAGATTCTATGGAACTCCAGGTGGTTGCTAGGCTGTTGCTAGGGTATCCAAGGTGGTTGTTAAGCAGTTGTTGAGCTATCCCAGGTGGTTGCTAAGGTGTTGCTAGGCAGTTGCTATGGTAGCCGAGGTGGTTGCTAGGGTATTGTTAGGCCATTGCTGTGCAATCCCAGGTGGTTGCAAAAAAGTGTTGTTAGGCTGTTGTTATGTTATCCCAGGTGGTAGCTAAGGTGTTGTGAGGCCATAAGATTTGACTTCATTATTTGACCAGAATATAATATTTGGTGGTGGGGGGGTGTGGGGTGTTGTCATTCCCTAGGGGGGCTTCTCCTTCCAAATTATATGGCATAGAAATAATAAAGAATACATCCATTTGATTTTTTAACTACTAGTGGAACTACTCATATAGTTGCAGAGACAGCAGGCTATTGAAACCACAAAAAAAAACACCCAGCTATACAATTCAATATCAGATCATATGAAAATACAGTCTGAATGGGTGGGGACAGTCTCACATTCCTCCACTAATTTCAGATTGATGAGAAACACTGTGAATCAATATGCTGCTCCCATACAAGCATGTAAACTGTTCACTGATAAGCCAGATAGCTTGTGTAACTTTAATCACATTTCTAGAGACTGTATAGAGAACAATCATTATTCATGATCATTTACCATTATTATTCATGATCATTGTTTGATGATCATTATTATTTGTGATCACTGATCATTTATTAATCTACAAAGATCTGCTTTTTGACTTGAGGTTTAAGCCAATATTAATCACAACAGATTAATCAGTATTAGTTTTGAGAAAATGAACCATCAGGTCATCACAGGGACAGATTAGATTCTTGCAAGGTGCACTAACACAAGTCTTTGAAGACGACTGAACAATAATATAATAAGATAATGAGAAAACAATTATGAAGGGATTATGAAGGCAGACTTTATGTTTCAGTTGTTTGCTCTTAGTGGAGCCAACACCTTTTGTATGGTTTGGAGCCGTTTGTAGCTCAAGCCTTCTTCTTTTTTTTTTTAAGTAGTTTTGGGGTGATTCTTTTCTTTTCTTTTTGTTTAAATACCCACCTGGGCTGCGTTGCGTACCGTACTGGTCACCCCTCTACAAAGGTGTGACAAACGGCTGCTGTTTGCCACAGCCTTAAGTAGAGTCCTCAGGTGTGTCAGGTTGGGCCTAATCAACCCAAGGGTTTCTGGGAATTGAAGTTCCCTGAAGTTAATGGCACTTTGCCGCCGTCACCCTCAGCTGGCAGTTGGAGGTGCAGGCTGGACACTTTCGAAGACCTGATACACTCTCAGAAAAAATGTATGAAACTGTTACTGGGGCAGAACCCCTATTGTCACTGGGGTGGAACCCTCAAGGGTACATCTCAGTACCTTTAGTCAGGGAACATAACTGAACCATAATCCACTGAAATGATATGTTCTAAGCTGTACTGACTCCACACACCCCGTCTCGTCTCCAGGCTTTTATTTTACTGTTCTGTTTTAAAACATTCGGTTATGAAAAGGTACAAATACAAACTTTTCACCTGGAAAAAGTTATTTAAGGTTCACAATTGGACCTTAAAACCACTGTTGTACCTTTGAGGGAACATTTACATTGTTTGTACCTTGATGACCGAAAAATGTACCTGCACAGAACCTTTATTTCTAACAGTGTATGTGAGGTAAATGTTTTCAAATGATGAAAACTTTTACAGAAGAAGAGCGTGAGACCTTAGAAAGATATTTAGATAAAAGATAAATATTGTTACTATAGGGGTGAATCCTCTCCAAAATGGAGAAAAAATGTTCTTAAATTATACCACAAGATTATTTTCCAGTTTTTCCAAGGAATTTTGGACCAGTTCAGTAAGACCACAGCTAACATCAATAGCTCAGGCTTTCACTCGGAAGACGTTAATACTTCTCGACTGATGCTCGCTGTTGTGTTGTTTGGATCATTCTCTAAAAAGCTGCACATGTGGGTGTCATGAAGAAATAGAAGACAAATAAATAAATAAACTAGCTATAATTCATAAATCTTACACAATCTTCTCTTCTATACTCCTCTATCCTTCTTTTTCCATGGAATGCAAAAAGCCAGCCCCAGATGCTGCCCGTGTTTCCGTGTCAGCATGTTTTTTTCCTTTTGTCAGTGAGGTTCTTCTTGACAGCTACACATCCTTTCAGACCCACAGCGCTGAGTCGTCTTCTCACAGTGGAAGGATGGACAGAAACACCTGTGGATGTTTTCAGATCTGAAGCAGCTTGATTTTCTCCTCTCTCTCAGAGATGAAAGCTTTAAGTGCTGTTTATCTGATGGGGACAGTTTTGGTGTTTACCAGGTCTTCCAGGTGGCTGTTAGGAGACTTTGTGGCATCAGCGAAAAAAGAAGACGCAGGGAAAAGGTGAATGCTCTTATTGAACAGGCAGTAAGGGAGAATAGCTGAATGGCTGGAAAGGGGCAGGTCACCTCTGGCCACGTATCTCCAGTGCTTAGTAGACACACAGACCAAGATCTTCCCCACAGCCCGACACAATAACACATAAACAATACCTAAACACCTGTTAGGCTAACAGCAGCAAACATTTACAACATTTAAGTCTCTCCATACCAGGAGCGTGACGCCTCCTGTGCACCCATGGCCGTGTGAATATAGAACCCTGACAAGTTAAAGAACCAGTTGAATGTTAAAGTGGCTCTTTATATCGTTAAAGGGTTCTTTTCCATGACAGAAAGCCTGTTGTGCATGGTTCTTTAAAGAACCTTTTAAAAAAATGGTTCTATGTAGCACCAAATCACTAACGTTGCTTTTGAAGATCAATCTTTCTGCCAAGGTTATTTATGTATTTATTGGATATTATGGATGAAATCTTCATGAAAATCTTGATAAAATCTTAATGAAAACTAACTAGGCTGCTTTACTGAACTTACAGTGTAAAGAGATTAAACACTCAGTCATCATATTTTCCTTTTTACACCTAATTCCATTCTCCATCAGTAGATGGCACTAATGTGCACATACAGTGTTACCAGAGAATTGAATACAGAATACTGTCTAATGTGCTTTACTGTTTGATACCTTTTGAAATGATTTTGAAATTTGAGTATCTTAATTTTCAATATTAGCAAATGAAGCTTTAACATGGCAAAAGCAAGAGCTGTAGGTATTGATACTCTGTGAAAATGCAGTTTGATTATTTCATATCCTGTTTATTAAAGATACCTGGTGTGTGAGCGTCTTACTGCAGACGTACGTGGTTAATGCAAAGTACAATGCAAAACACAGAAGTCAGCACCATTTCTGTAACCTTTGTTAAAACTACATACAGTTGAAAAATATAGTAACAAATACAAATAAATACATTAAAAAATATATTTAATGAATACAGTTTTGGCCTTTTTCTTATATTGCTGAAATATATTTGATAAATACATTTGGAATATATATTTTTTTTCCATATGGGACAGAAGACCACTAGTCAGAAACTGCACTGGTCTGTAGCCCACTAGCTAAGCTCATGAGGAGAGGAGCCAGCTAGCATTAGCCTAGCTAGCAGGCTGCAGACCCAAAAATGATCATTATCATGTAAACATGGATCAGCTCAGCTTTAGTCAGCCAGAATCGAATATGTTCTGTGGTGAGCAGAGCTGTTAGCATGCTAAGCTAATGGTTACCAGCTCCTCTCTCCTAGACAGCAGCACCGTTTAACATTTAGCTATTATTACACTGATGGTTTCACATTCATTGAATGATGGGTTGAAAAATGTGTACACGTTTGTTTATTTGGCCACTGTGTAAACATACTGGATTTATTTGTTTTCCAGTTTTGAAAAGTGCAGGATGAGGTGGAGCAACACTGACATCAACAGAGAACCAATCAAGAGACAGATGAATATGTCTATGGTCTGCAGTCCTCAGCATGGTTAGCTAAGCATGTGGAGGAAACTGTGTTCAGATCTACAGAGGAAAAGAGACGATTCACACCTTTTTATATTAGTAGGATTGATTTTATTATT